CCCTCCCTCCCTCCCTCCCTCCCTCCCCTTCTTCCTTCCCTCCTTGTCTTCCACCTAGCACGGCCATCCCCCGTCGCCCTGCCTTCCGGCCCTCCATAGATCTGCTCTCTCTCGGCCTTGGCTGTGAATGGGTGGAACCAGTGTTGGGAAGGAGGGAGGGAAGGAGGGAGGGAAGGAGGGAGGGAGAGGAAGGACGGGGAGAGCGAGGTGCGGCCGCTATCCGGGTCGGAATCTCCGCCAAATCTTTCGGGTAAGAGAAGGATCGAGGCGGTACGCTCGACCAAAACCTTTGGTAGGTATGCGACATTGACATCGCTTTCCCCCTTTGCGCCCTCCCTCCCTCCCTCCCTCCTTCCTAGAGCCGGGGGCACCCTGCGCGTGTCGTGGCAGGACTCGCGCCTGTGGGGTGGGAAAGGGCTATCCACCGCCACCTTGTCCATGCCAATCTCCGAAAGCCCCTGGTGCCAAAGCAGCCTCTCCTTCGAGCACACTTGGCAATTGACGGGGTGGGAGGGTACAGGAGGGCTGTGGAGGAGGAGGAGAGAGAGGGAGTGACGGGGAGGGACCGAGGTGTACAGTAACCAAAGCAAAGGGAGGCACGCGTCAAAGGCAGAGGGAGAGTTGCAGAGCAACAGACAAAGTGTGTCTCGATTGATGCCTAAGAATGTGAAAACCATCGAGGCAGTTTTTTCTTTGCTTTCTTGCCCTTCCTGGCATGTTCAACATCGTTATCACGAGCAGCAGACAGGCCTTCTCAGCCCCTTACACGTTTCCTTCCTTCCGGCCACCCTCTGCCCGTATGCACAGGCGCTTCCCCCTATTTCTTTACACAGTTTCTTCCAATTGACAAGGTTGCCCCCCCTTTCCAACCCTTTCCGTGCTCACGCACAAAATTTTTCCTCCCCTATTTGCCCTCACTGTCGAACTTTTTCCACGCCATCAGCTTCGATGTTCACGCTACTACGGCCTAATGAAGACAGCAATATTAAAACCTGTGCCTTCGGTGCTGGATGTTGTAGAGCTCCCCTTCGCCTATCTACGTTCCTTCGCTGTTCCCTTCTATCCCCCATCCCTCTCCTCCTCTTCCGGGTAGTCTTTCACAGGACCACCCGCTTCTCGCGTTGCCGGTCCCCAAAACTGCCCCCCCCGCCTCGGCCCATGCCCTCGTCCACCGCCACGTCCTCCACCTTCTCGCCGAGAAGACTGGAGCTGACACAGTTGTCATCCCTTCCCTTGGGGCAGCGCTCGTTGCGGTCGCGGCAGTTTTCTCCGATATCGGGATTTCCACAGGGGTCCAGGACGAGGGGCGTGGGCTGGGGCGAGGGCACTGACAAGAAGGAGGATACCGTCTGGTAAAGCGGGCCCAGGGGTGTGGAAGGCGA